TCTATACCATTTATCACCTTACCTGCACTCATGTGTCAAATACATTAGAAACATAACTGCCCATGAAACACTACGGGATTAAATCCACTGTTTTAACATCATGTCTCTCAGAAATAACTATCGCAATAATTTTTGCTTCTGTGCTTTTAGCAATAAAATAATAGTAACATTTATTGAATGCTGCTCACTCTATATCAGCAAACATGATAAAAACGGATGTTCTTTTCTGGTACTTGGGATTGAATGCAGCACCTTCATACTGAGCAACATCCCATCTTTCTGTTTTTAAGACAGGGTGTCAGTAAGTCAGTAGGCTGCCCAGGATGGGCTCCAATTTACAGTCCTCCTGCATCAGTTTCCCAAAGTGCTGGGATTACACACATGTGCCACCACACTCACCTGAAAGCTATTTCAAAGAAATCATCTGCTTCATATTACTTTAGCAAACTAAGTGATGCTATTATCATATTTATATTCTTATCTATTCATCATCCAAGCTACAAGGAGTAAGCATCTACACCATTAAGCAATGACCTTCATATACGTAAGAAACTATATACTATATATATACTAAAATATTAAAAATAAAGCTCATATTTGATAGCTCAGTAGGAACTTTTAACACAAAAACAAAGTTTGAAAGAGACTTCAAAGGTGATTTGTTCCTTTTCCACACCTTCAAGTAACACCATAATGAAATTGACCCTAGCAAAGAAATACATTAAAAGACATCCGAAGGGGATTAAACCCATCTTGGAAAACTATTCCAGTTTTAAAACCACTCTCACAAGCTTTGAATTTATCCAGCAAATGCTTATCTATACCTTTTACTACACATTCTAGGATATAATTTTCATAGGCCTACCATATGTAAGTATACTTATCATTGGAGAGAAAAATATTTAACAATGCTGAGTTCACTAAGACATGTTTATTTCCACTAACAAATATATGTTAATATAGCAGTATGAGTATAAAATAAATCACCCCAGAAATGAGATAATCAAAGAATTTTAGTTATTAGGATGTCCACTCATTTCCTGGAAATTCCTATTTCTTCAATGATTAAAAAAAGAGTTAAAACAGTATCTGCTATGGTTTATATTCAGATGGCCCTCCCAAGCCTCATACAATCATGGATGCCGCTGAATCTAGCCTGTGTGCCTGGTTTGTTGTCTGGTGCTGGGATTGGCGATGAGTGTTGGACCCGCCCAGGGGCAGAGCTGGCACCCAGTATAAGCAGGGGATGTGGCTTTTTTCTTTTGCCCTCCCCTGCCATGTGTTTGCAGTGGCAATGAACAGACTGGCTGCCCCACTTTGCCACCTTGCAAGTTGGAGCCAGCTGAATATGGACTGAAACCCCCAAAACTGTAAAAAATAAACCTTCCCTTGCTTCACTTTGGGCATCAGGTATTTTGTCTCAACAAGGAGAAAAAAGTAAGACAATGTCACTAGTAATGGCCTATAAAATAACATTTAAGGAAGCTTCACTTTAAAAAATAATTGATGAATCCTTTTATAGAACTAAGTCATCATTTTGTTATGTAACCACTAGCTGATATACCTACTTATACAGACAGATAAAGTCACAGGACAGAATGTCCGCTGTCCTGCCACATTGTCAGTAAGAAAGAAGTGAAGGAAAAGAAAAACACATTCACTTACTGAGTACTTAGTTTACCTCAATTGAATTGTTTGATCATCCCCAAATCACATAAAACATCTGAGGAGATGATGAAAAAGGTTTGGAACATTGCCTTTGACCACAGAGAAAACACAGTACAGTGGAGATGAGGACAAGAGACCCTTTGACATCCCGGCTAAATCACAATCACTAAACGACACTTGGGAAGAATTCCACTGCAATGTTCAGAATGGTTAGGCATTTCCAATTTTACTGTTAGAGCGCTACAAAAGAGACAGTAATTACTAAGAAGATAAATCTAAATTGTTGAAGAATGACCCAATTTTCAGTTCTACGCCTGGATTATCTCCGGCTACATAGTAATGTACTGATTTCTTCAATTAAGTGTTTTCCTAATAAATCAATCTAAGTGTAAGGAGAAACTCACACAATCACATGTTTTGCTATCCTTGTAAACCACCAACTTCTATCAGATCAGTGAGACAATTCTCACCGGCTCTTTCCACAATGGCTGTTGTAGGTTTCTACCATTCTCCTCCTGAAATCAGTCTCTTCTCTAATCAGCTTTTATTCATGCCCACCTCCTGGAGACTATCACCTTTGAACTCTCTCTTCTTTACACTGGACCTGCCAGTGTGGATATCCACTCAGCCCCGCTCCTCTACCTGCTCTGGCACACCAGCCAGGAACACAGCACTTGACTGGCAAATGTCGTATGTGACGAATTCCAGACCAATTCTTACACCTTGCCCATCCCATTCCTTCCTGTATTTTCACAGACCTCTCTCCGTTCTCCCTTCCCTTTTATTTCCTACTTCCTCAAACACTGCCTGTTTTTGGCTCCTTCTCTACTAGGGTAGCTTATCAATCTTAAAATCACAATGCAACAAAACAAAAATCAACCCTACAAATCATTTGTAGTTACTGCATCTTTCTTTTCTTTACAGCCAACTCCTTCAAAATGAAATGCAACTGGAAATTTTATTGTCAAGCAGAGTTACACTTAAAAAAAAAAAGGATCTAGGAGTTCAGCTTCAAAACAGCCACAGGTGGAGGGCAGGAGTCACAGAAGGAAAACAGGTTGCATGTTCACTCTTCAAGTGCTTTCATATTTTCTTCCCTTTATTGTCTGTTATGTTTTCTTTCTTCTTCCTCTCTGCCTAACCTTTTCATTTTCATCTGTGGGCTCTTCTCCCCCCACCTCTCAAACACGGCCCCTTAAACACACACTTTACAGGATGCTGCTTCCCGTCAGGTTCATTTTCATGCTTCTCTTTTCTGTTCATCCCTCCTACCTGAGCTGGTCCATTGTCCCCTGCAGTTACCTATCAGTCCTGACGTCTTGTAACTCCAAACCTAAATGTATCCCCCCAAAAATATGCCAAAGAAACCCTGAACAAACAGTCAAAACTGAATGTATCATAATCTTTCACCCCAACAAATTTGCTGCTTCCATGAAAATCAAGTTCCACTGCCTTCTGTCATCTAGCATCATTTGTCTCAGACATCCAAAGTCTTAAATCACATCAACTCTGCCTCTTAAATATCCCCCCAATCCACCTCTTCCTGTGACTCCCAACTGCTTATTTCAGGCTCTCTTCATTTCTCTACTAGACCTTTTTGTTTTTTGACAACTGTTTTCCCTACCACTTCTCTAATCTTTCCTTCTCAAGGTCCACCATCCACGTTGGAGCTGGAGCTATCTTTCTAACGTAAATTGAGTGACACCACTACTTTTTCTGAATTTTTTCAATGGTTGTCCCATGGTAAGAAAAACTGCAAACCCTGACAATGGCACCAGGTGCCTTAAACTCTGGCTTCTCCCACCACAGTACTGCAAGTATACTGGGATCCAGTCACTTAGATCTATTGAGTGGTCCCCAAATACAAAAGACTCACTCCTAAATCTATCATTTGCTCATATTGCCTAGTATCTTCCCTCATCCTCCCTCCAAGGAAAAGCCTTCAACTCACTCTGTAGCCCAGATTGGCCTCAAACTCCCAGCAGTCCTCCTGTCTCAGCCTCCCAAGTGCTGGAATTACAGGGGTGCATCACCACATCTGGTGTTCAACTTTAACTACAGTCAAAAACTACTTTATGGCCAGGTAAGGTGGCGCATGCCTGCAATCCCAGCACTTGGGGAGGCTGAGGCAGAACTGTCAGCAGTTCCAAGCCAACCTGAACTACACAATGAGACTGTCTCAAAACAAAAACAAAAAAACAAGCCACTATATATCAAAGACCTCTCCTGGCAGACTCTTTTTAATTGAAAGGGAGAATGGCATAAGGGGTTGAAATCATGATTTATATTATGAATTAGATCCAGAAGGGTTGGAATCCCATGTTCACACTACAGACTAGGACTTCCAGGAAATTTTCTAACTCTATTTCTTTATCTCTAAATAATAGTACTTTGTATCTTCATTGTGAAGATTAAGGGTCTTCAAGGAAACAAACACGCAGTGCCTCACATAGAGTAAATATTCAACAAATGTTACTGTTGTATGCTTATTTATTACCATTGAAATTATCATTGTTCTTATAGCAACCTGGCACATTACCATAATAAAATGACTGCCCATACAAGGTACACGTTGTCTTTTATTCCTCTCTTTAATCTCACCACCTGGCCTTCAGAAATTCTGAAGGAATATTTCAAATCTCTGTACTACACAATGCTTTTTTCCCTGTCTCTTGAAACTTACCTTCTGTAGCCTTCTTATAAAAATTTAAGTAAAATTTATAGAATCAACACCATTTTAATTGATAGTAAAAGAATTTTAGTGTTACAGTCCTAGGGATTTTATCTCTAAACACACACACACACACACACACACACACACACATACACACAAGGCCCACAATACTCACAATACTATCAACAACTTCCCAACCTTATAAAATACTAAATTGTTAAGAGGTGTTAATGGGTGTTAAGAGCACCCAATGAAAATCTTTTAAGGAAAGTCAAGGCAGGTTTTCCAAATCTAGGTCTGCCTCCTTACCGCCAGAACTTGAGTTAATTCTTGTGATTAAGAATTAAGGTTTATTCGGCAGCATTTTTTTTAAAAAAGCATATTTTTCATCTTGAAAATATGATGTTGAGAAATTCTGAAAAGCATTGGAATAAGCAAAGAAAACTACTTTCCAACGGATGGGGCGGGGAGGGCTGGGCTTTAAAAGTTTAAATCTAAACTAGACTTTAAAATAGAATCGAATTATGTGTCGGCTGGTAGATGGAGAAGATGGGGATTTCACAACCTTGAATCTTCACAGATAAAATGCAAAGTGCAAAACGATAAAAATCAGATACACGAAACAGCAATGATCTCTTGTATCCACTTTTACACTTACCCTTTGGACATTAGTGCCCTTTGAGCAATCACTAATGGATGGGTTGAATATGCCAACACCTTTGAGCTACTTTAAAATCAGCATGTTAAGTATCTAGAAATACGCGTATCCAGTAGAGAAGCCTGCTTACACCACGGGTCTCTCGGGTCTCACACCAAACGTTTGCAGCACCATGGTTCTGCACCAAGAGGCAGCGCCCCGGGCGAGGGACAGGCGCTGAAGGCCGGAGGCCCTGCAGCGGGTGCCTGCCCTGCCTAGGCTAGGCTGGGCGGCGGCCCCACGGGGTGGGTTGGGCGCAGCCGCAGCCGGGGCGGATCAAACCTCAGGGCGGGAAGCCCTTGTCTCACCTCCACTTCCCCTTCCCAAGCGAACACAGCCCAGTTCCGAGAACCACTCAATAGCCCCCCTAAGACAAAAAAGATTGAGATTCGCTTTCTCTCAATCCGCCAAAATTTATCTGTCTTTCGCAGCAATCGGGGCCGCTGGGCTTTGTAGTTCGCTGGCCCGAGCCACCCCGCCAAGGCCGCGAGCCTGCTGAGCCGTCGAACTACAATTCCCATGATACCCCGCGAGCCTCGCACTCGCTCCCTTATCCCCCTCCTCACGCGGCGGCCAGCGCCCCTCTCCCGCGCCGCTCTCGGCCTAGATGTCTCGGACTGCGGGAGCTAGGACGCGACTGTCAAGTTGGACACTCACCACCTGTCCTCGTGCTCGCGACTGTCGCCCTCAGACTCATTACCTAGGGGCTGCAGGTCGCCGGGCCGTCAGTGAGGCGATTCAGGTGGGGTGGGGTGGAGTGGGGTGGGGGTGGGACGCGGCTGTCGCAGAGTCCGTTAGTTCACGGCGTGCGTGAAGAGGCGGTGGCGGCGTACGGTTGTCATGGCAGCCGCGGGCCGCGAGGCCGGGCAAGCGCAGGGACACTGAGTCAGCTCCAGAAGGAGCTGGGCAGCGCTCCAGGTTGCGGGGGAAGGGAGGGCGCCTGGTGGGGACCCGGGAGACTGAAGAGGGGATCGGCTGGCTGGACGGGCTCAGTGTGCGCCGCGGAGCCCATCCCCGGCCGGGCACGCTCAGGCCTACTTTGGCCTTAGCGGCTGGAACCCCGGGAGCTCAGACGGCTGGTTGAAGGGTTCTGTCCCTGCCCCCCGGGATGTGTGGAACGCAGCCAAATCGAATTCGCTCGCAGTCTTACACGGCCTCTTTCTGCCATGCTTTGGGGAATGGGGTTAACAGCGGGACATCTGATAAAATGGAATGCAGATGGGCCCTTAGGATTATTTAGAAGGTTTTAGAACTTGTATATCGCATTGATCTGCGTTGAATCTGGAGCTGTATTTCTTAGGCAATCGTTTGTGAACGCTCCAGGGTCGTCATTATATTATAAGCAGGCTCTGAGTTCCGTGGTATCTCTGTGCTGGGTCCCCAATGCCTTGTGACCACCTACTCTGCTCCTCAACATTTGAATTTGCATAATGAAATACCTGTCTCATGCTTAAACGCATTAATGCCTTTGAAGCAGAATGAAACAAAGATGTGGTGGAGGGAAGGGAAGAGAATATGATGAAAAAAGAACTATGATGTGTTATGTATCAACTCCCCTACATGCATTATGTCTATAAACATGTAATAAAAATTTTAAAGTAGCTATACAACAATAAGTGTGAAATATTTAATCCGCCGTGGTAGAAGTTAGATTAATGAGAGGCTAGCTGGCTGTGACGGGAGTTTCGCTGTGGAGGGAATTTTCTGAAGTGATGAAACAGCTGTATAGCTAAGGGTTTATGCTGCATAAGTATCTGCAGTTGTCAAAACTGTTACTGGCATTCAGATTTGTACATTTCATTGCATTTAAATTATCTCAAAAGGAACATAAAATGTTGGTTGTTATTATCACAGCCCTACCAGAAACCATATAGATAATCTAGGCTCAGTCTCCAGATTTTATAGATGAAGAAGGTGAATCCTAGATGTTTAATAGGAAAAGAGGAGGGAGGATAAAATACTGACATTGTCATTTTCTAGAATTAAATGTCTCCCGAGGTTGAAGTTGGCCCTAGTCTTTTATCCACCTCTCTAGGAGAAGCCAGTGTCCTGCCTGATTGCACAGGCCCCGAAGGTGTACCTTCTCAGGACCCATCTGGTTCTGAGTTTTTGCCCTTTCTAAATGCTCAGGTTCCGTCATATCTCACCTGTCACATCTCACCTGCAGCTCTTTTCTCTCTGCCACATGGTGCAGAGATCAGTCTGTCTTCTTGGGGTCTTCTAAAGGTTTTGAGTGGCCAAGGGATTTAAAATAAAAAGCACAAAAAGTTAAATAAAATGCACAAAACCCCTAAGATTACAATTCCTTGCTCTTAAAAGTCCTTCAGTTCCTCCATGACATTTTTATCCACTGACTCCCATTCCTTCAGCATAAATCATAATCTCCTGTTAGCCACCATCTCTCTGAACCTTTCTCTCCTCTTTTCTTTCTTTACACAGTACTTTTACTTATCTCCATGCCTTAATTTGTGCCTTCATAGCTACCTACCAATCCCAAATTGTTCACCAGACTATTTTCCCATACAAAGAAAGTGCCTTCCAATTTTTTTTTTACCATAGTATGCACCTTCATATTCTAGTAGATGCAACCTACAAATATTAACCAGTAATGTATGTGACCTCTCCAGGCTATCTTTACAGTGGGTTCAATTATGAATACTATTCTCTTACAGCCATAATAGTTTATTTAATATAACTAAGGAAGCAAATGATCACAGCAGGACTCTGTTACCTAGGAGGAGAAAAAGACACCTGTATAATAATAGTTTATATAATGCAGAAAGTATGATGGTGTTAAGGTCATAAAGCCTAGACAAAATCTTGAGCATTAGGCCATAGTAACTTCCTTACAGAAAGAATGCCTAATCACCTATAGTACTTTGGGCACAATTCTGCATATATAATGAGTATGTGAACAGATTCTCCTTTACACCTAGAAAAGATGATACTGATACTAGCTGAACACATGTTTCTGTAGTAGGGACGATAGGTTCACCTGATCCATCTAGCACTCATCTGATTTCCCTCGTGACCAGTTTTTTTGTCTGCAAGGCAGGTGGCCAGGGTGCTACTACAGTCTATTACCTTGAAGAAGTCTCCAAGGGCAAGAGACCAATGCGTGGCCCTCTTTTTTTTGTTTGTTTCTTTTTTTATGCCAGGATCCCAGGGAATTAGCTTAGCATGACAAGTCACTTGAGAATGTATGATAACAGAAAAAGCAGACAGCTGCTCTGCAGTGAGCCGAAGGTGGGCAGTCGCATACAAGACCATGAGCCGTGCGTGGAAGCACCCTTAAAATGCCTCACAGGCCACAGACAGCTAGGAAGAAATAAAGATTAACTTAAAGAAACTACTACCTAATACGTCAAACCCATTTTAGTGATAGTTTTAACAATGCACAAATCCAAAACATGGAGCTGAACGACCATGTGGTCAAGAACCACCATCTTGAGCCAGAAATAGAAATGCACACCTGTAATCCCAGCACTCAAGAGGCTGAGGCAGGAGGACCACTGAAAGTTCTAGGCCAACCTGGGCTCCTGAACTACACAGCGAGATTGTGTCTCAAAAAAAAAAAAAAAGAAGAGGCTTAACACATCTGGTACTAAGGCAAATGTTCACCCCAGGCTGTGTAGCCTTCTTGCCATCGGTAGCATTTGACATTCTGATCACCATTGTATTGGTCAGGGTTTTACTAGAGATATAACCCGGGATATACAGAAACAACAAGATTGGCTCACGATAGTCACAGAGTCCGATGAGGAAGCATGCAGAGGATATCTATGCACTGGAGGCCAAAGGATTCAATCCAAGGTCTGGAGTTCAACCTAGTGTCTTGTGCAAGTCCACACCAGCAGGCTGATGGGTCTGCGACAGAAGGCCAAAGGCTCTGTGATGAAAGGCTGAAGAGTCTATACTGGAAGCCAGGAGACAAGGTCCAAACCAAAGGTAAAGACTGCAGCTTCTCCCAAGAATGGAATAGATTCATCCTTCCTCCTCCCCTTTTATATCTCGAGGTGATAACCCACCCTAGGGTGGGTCTTATTCCACATCCTTGGGTGTAGAATTGCTAAACCCCATTTAGTTAACTTCTAACTGTCTCAAGTTGACACAATCAATCAACCACTACAATCATCCTTGATGTCCATGACCTTGGTTCTCTTCAAAGCTTTCTATCCATCTTTTGCTGAATTATTTACTAGCTGGTTAGCAGCTTCTGAAATGGGAAGATGGTGCCTCAAGTTCGATCTTTACACCCTGTCCATTTCAAAGGTTTCATCTCTCCGGTCTTATGGATACTCAGATTCCTCTTGCTGGTTTTGCTCCCTAAGTGCCAGCACTGTGCCAAGCAGGCCTCGTGTTCCCTTACCTAATTCGATGCTTTTGCTGTTCTCTGCAGATGGAGAAATAATTCAAGCCTTTCCATGAAACCTCTCCAGGTACTTCTAATAATCATATGACCCTGATGTGTACTCAGATTATTTCCTGTGTCAATCACTTGACAACTAACCATACTGCCTAATGACATTTTGTCTATTGTTTATTAGTTGGCTTTTGTCTTTTCTCATCATATTTCAAGATTTTCTGATATGTATTCCTTGGGCATTCCACAAAACACCACACATATAAGGACACGGTAGGCCAGGAGTGGAGGTTCCCACCTGTAATCCCAGCATTTGGGAGGTTGAGGCAAGAGGATTGCCATGAGTTCAAGGCCAGACTGGGCTACAAAGTGAGTTCAAGACCAGCCTGAACTGTGTAGTGAAACCCTGTCTCGAAAAGACAAAAAACAGAACAAAAAAATCCAGTACTGAACTGAGATACAGTGGTTTCCCTAAACATATAACTATGGTAAAGTTTAGTTTATAAATTAGGCATAGTAAGAAGTTTAAAAATAACAGCAAAATAGCATAATTATACCGTGATGATTCTTAAAATTTATAGATTCTTTGTTCCTGTAGTTTTCCATTTAATATTTTCCAACCAAAGCTGACTCTATAACAAAATGTACAAAGAAAAACCAGAGTAAGGAGGCCCTACTTTATGCAGACCATGCTCAGCTTCTTAACACAAATATCCCAGAGGCCTATGGAAGTGTGGGCCCCCACGTGCATTCTGCGGAGGGGTCACTTTTGACATCATCCCTTTAACTCGCTGTGGCTGTGGGAGGAGGCAGGAGGTGGCAAGCGCTGCGTTGCGGCCTCTGAAGGCCTCCTGGAGCACTTTTCTTGCTGAGAGTCACAGCCTGCTATTAAGTCATGAAATCAGTGCGATGCAGCTCCTCCAGCTTTTCAATATTTCA